GGAGGTGTGCTCAAGCTGTAGAGTGCCTGTTTTGCAAACCAAAGGCCTGAGTTCAAATCCTAGTGTCATGTCCTTCCCTGCCCCCCCCCAAAATCAGTTTTTCCTGTCCCTTTTGTAGAGTACAATTTTGAGATAATAATAGCATTCACGAATACTGGGAATATTGTAAATGTGGTTAGAAAGTTATTTGAAAGTAACTTTATTCCCCCTTATTTTTCCTTAATTCTTTTTCTTTTCTGATTTTTCTAGAACAGTTCAGTGCATAGCATTCTTTGGAATATTATTTTGGCATGACTTATAAAAACTTATCCCAAAGCTTATGTTTTTTTACGTTTTTCTTTTTTGGAAAGTAGTGTAAATAAGGTAGAAGTGATATCCAAATTAGAATTTTTGGGGCGCTTTGTCAATGTGGTCAGGTTGGGGAAAGTCGTCCTATCATTAAGAATTCCTCAGGCCATCACATGAGCGTGAGGGAGAGTTGGTGTTTACAGTTGAAATAAGAAACCCAGCTTGTGGCTGGTGGAGTGGCTCAAGTGGTAGAGTGCCTGTCTAAGCAAGTGTGAGGCCTTGAGTTCAAATCCCAGTACCACCAAATAAAAACAACTCACATGATTAAAAAATGGCAATTCATATTGCATGTGTGAGTTACAGCTCAGTAAAGTGATTCCTTAAAAAAACAGGTTATTTCCCAGTCCTTACTGTGGTACATGCTTAATATTCTACCCAGCAATGTGTCCATTGATGTAGTTGTTATGTTTGGAATGGCCAGAGTGTGTTCATACTTGAAGACCTTTCTTAGCTCTTCAGAAAGGACACAGTATACTTTGGAGTGTTTGATAAGTGAGGGAGAGTTTTGGAACTTTTTAGCATGTTTTCATCAGATGCTTCTCCCTGTGTTTTCTTCTAGTAGTTTCATAGTTTTGGGTGGATAGATTTTCTTTGATATGTACAGCATCTGTAAAAACAATTGTCATAGTGGGTAAGTAGCTGGCAGAGCATCTTCCAGTGATTAAATTCGTTTGAATTTGCTAGCTTTCATTATTTTCGATTTACTAGAATTGGCAGGTGATAGCTGGGCATGATGTGCATACCTGTATTCTCAGCACTTGGGAAGCTAAGAGAGGAGCATCATGAATTCCAGGCCAGGCTCCATAGTGAGATCCTGTCTCAAGAGAAAAAATTGTGTGTGTGTTTCTGTTTATAAATTGAGAGTTGATGAATTCAGAGTGAGATTAAAGATTTCTTAGAAGTTATTTAGTAGCCACACGTTTCATGTTTGAGCCAGAAAAGAGGGTAAAAATTCTAGAGAGGCGATTTATGTAGCATTCTGTGGTTTTGTTGGTACTGGGGTTTGAGCTCAGAGGTTCCCCTTTACTTCTTGAGTCCTTTTGCCTTTTTTTTTTTTTTTTTTTTTGTAGGTCTACGGTTTGAACTCAGGGCTTTGCGCTCACAAAGCAGGCATTCTACTGTTTAAGCCCACTCCATTCTGCTTTGGTTGTTTTGAAGATGGGGTCTCAAGAACTTTTTACCCAGGCTGGCCTTCAACCACAATCCTCCTTGTCTCAGCCTCCCAAGTAGCTAGGATTACAGGTGTGAACCACCAGCACCAGGTTTTCCTTTTGCTTTTAGTTTGTTTTTTCCCATACAGTCTTGTGTTTTTGCTGGGACCAGCCAGCAATCCTCCTGTTCTGCCTCCTAAGTAGCTGGGACTGCAAGTGTGCACCATATACCACATTTTTCTAATTAGAATAAGAGACTATTTGTGTAGACTGAAGTCTTTTGAGGTTATACTGCCAAATTTTGTGCATTTTCATTTTTCATTGAGAATGATCAAATAGACTTATTTTTCTAAAACTGAGAATGTTCAAGTTATTCACAAAACTTTTAGTATATGATCTTAGATCACTGAAGAGTTTCCTAAAACACTGTGCAGTCATTGGTGCTATAGGGTAACTTAACATTTTTAATTCTGTTGATTAGAGTGCCAAGGCTGAGTTCATGAGCCAGCACCAAACTCCTCCCCCTGCAAAAAAAAACCAAACAAACCTTAATTGTTTAAGCTTTTGTTATGATATCTTCAGGATTTTTTGAATGTAGAACATTTTTAGAGTTTTTTAGGCATAATTATATTTAGCAAAATACAGAATTTGAGAGTTCAATTAAAAAAATTTTAAATTACATATTCAGGTAACCATTGCCAAATACAAAAATTCCTTAACTAGCCAGCCATCAGTTCCCTGTCATTTCATTTTTGATTTCTATCACCTTAGGCTAGTTTTCTCTTTTGTTCCTATTCCATAATGTGAACACTGGAAAATCTGACAATCTCTCTCTTTTTTTGGGTGGGGGGCAGTATCTGGGTTTGAACTCAGGGCCTTGTACTTGCTAGGCAAGTGCTGTACCACGTGAGCCATACCTCCAGTGCTGACGATCCAGTTTTGATATTACATGGTCAGGGATCACTTTGCTTGTTAGGAAATTCTAACTTGATTTTATGTGAGAGAATGAAGTAAAACTTTTTGGGAGTCTGTGTCACATTAAATTTTGGGGGCTAAAAAGTAAGATGTAGTCTCTGCTGTTGAAAAAATTAACTGTTTAAGGAAAGAGCTTGCTTTTAAAATTTTATTTATCTTTTTGGTGGCAGTGGAGTTTGAACCTCATGCTTGCTAGGCAGGCGCTCTACCACTTGAGCCATTCCACCATTCCTGTTTTGTGTTGGGTATTTTTTAGATAGGGTCTCTGGAGCTGTTTGTTCATGGTTGGCTTTGAACTGTGATCCTCCTCATCTCTGTCTCCTGAGTAGCTAGGATTACAGGTGTGAGCCACTGGCACTAGGCAGGCATTTGAATGCATTAGGGTTTGTTTTTGGCCTAGGGCCTTCAGTGTGGTCCACCACTTAATTACACCCCTTAGCCCCTAACCTGCCCCTCTCCTTGCCCTTTTGTGGTAGTGGGTTGAACCCAGGGCCTTGGGTGTGCTGGGCAAGTGCTTTACCTCTTTTTTGGTGTTACCTTGGGGTGGAACTCGGGGACTTACACTTGCTAAGGCAGGCAGGCACTCTGCCTCTTGAGCCTCAATCCCCCAGTTCCTCAAATCTTTTTTTAAGAAAGGAAAATTTGTTTGTGAATTCTAATATCTAATCTGTCTAACATCTATATATGTGAGATTGCTGTGGTTTAATTGAACTAATGGGAAGTCTCAAAACTTAGAAATCAGCAGGCACTTGTGGCTCACGCCTGTAATCGTAGCTACTCAGGAGGCAGGGATCTGGAGGATTGAGGTTTGAAGTCAGCCTGGGCAAATAGTTCACAAGACCCTGTCTCAAAAAAAATCCTTCAGAAAAAGGGGCTGGTGGAGTGGCTCAAGGTGTTGGGCCCTGAGTTCAAACCCCAGTACCACAAAAAACAAAACTGCTACGAATCTCCAGTGTCCACTTACTAACCTTTAATTTCTCAAGAATCTGAGACCAGTAAGAAAATCTGCAGTTATCTTCTTTTAGACCAAGGGCTGGGTGGGAGATATCTAACTCTCATTCTGCTTCAGGTTAGTCTACTTTTTGTACATTTGTTTAGGAATTAGGATCTAGTCTTTTGGTATGGTGTCTTCATAATCATGCCTAAAGGCAAACAATTCTCCTAACATGACTGGGGAGCTACTCCATATTGATCTAGGAACTGTAATTGGGAAAATGAACAGACCTTGAGCTGATTTAGGTTTCTGTGGAACAGTTAGTAAGTGGGCAGATATTCAAGAATACTGGAAGAACCAGACATGGTCGTGTGTGCCTACAGTCCCAGCTACTTGTGAAACTGAGGAAAAAGGAGTGTTTTGGTCCAGGAGTTTGAGGACAGCCTGAGCAACATAGGGAGACCTCGCCTCAAAAGGAAAAAACTCTGAAATCTCTCCTTTTATGCTTCAAGTAGATTTCTTATTTTCATTTTAGTTATTTTTTGTGATGGGTTTTTTTGAGATAGGGTTTGTGAACATTTTGCCTGGGCTGGCTCCAACTGCGATCCTCCTGCTCTCTGCCTCCTGAGTAGCTACAATTATAGGTGTGAACCACTGTCACCCAGCTGTAATTACATTTTTATATAAATGTCTTCTTGTATGTTTAACTTAAGGATGGTTTTCTCTCTTTTCAGTAAAAAGGCACTAGCTCTTTAAGCATTCAAAAGTATTAACTATATAAATCTTCATAATTTTAGTTAGTAGGGGTTATTTTGCTAAGTAAAATCATTTTATGAATCATTATTATGTGGGTCAACCTTATCTCTAACTCACAGTTCTCCTGCCTCATGAATGCAGCCATTTTAGTTTTTTGTTGTTTGTTTTTTAAAAATATACCAAAACTTTATCTGATTTAGAGGAACTGGGAAATATGGTAAGTTGTACATGGATGTCAAAACTATGTAGTTTTAAGATTATTGCCCTTGGATCTAATATGGCCACAAATAAGAATATGTTTAAAATTTTACAATTGGAAATGTGTAAAGAAAATGATGATAGGACTTTTTTTTTTTTGGTGATTCTGGGAGTTTGAACTCGGGTTTGCACTTGCTAGACAGGCACTCTACAGGCTGCCAGCCAGGACACATGTTGGAAATACATACATGCCTATGAGGTTCTTACAGCTATTTTAAGAAAATTGAACTTTTGAGATGATGATAAAAAGATCTGTTTTCCTTATATATTTATCTGGTGTGTTCAGAATCTCACCTGATCTGTGTGGTTTTAGTTTGTTCCTAAAATGTTTATCCCATTCTAAAACTGAGAGTCTCTTGGGCTGGGATGTAGCTCGGTGGTACAGCGCTTGCCTAGCATGCCTGAGGCCCTGGGTTCGATCCCAGCACCAAAAAAAAAAGAAAAGACAAAAAAAAAAAAAAAAAAACCTCTCCCCTAAAACTAAGAGTCTCTTAAGTTGGATTTGGCCTTTTTTCCTTTCATGGTTATTTCAGATTGACATGCTTTTTTTTAAATTTTATTTTTGCTTGTTTTCCTAGGTTGAATTGACCAAAGCAATGGTTATGGAGAAGCCTAGTCCCCTGCTGGTCGGGCGGGAATTTGTGAGACAGTATTACACACTGCTGAACCAGGCCCCTGACATGCTCCATAGGTACGTGGGTGCTTATTCTGGAGATCTTTCCCATTTGTCGTATTCCTTGAAGGCTTGTTGCATAGTAGTGCTTTGCACATGAGACCCTGTAGATAATCACTATTAATGAGAGAAGGATTTTTTTGTTTGTTTTGTTTCTGTTTTGTTTTGAGACAGGATCTTGCTTTGTAACCCAGACTGGCCTCAAATTCAGTATTCTTTTGCCTTAGTTTCCCAAGTACTGGGTTAGCAGTGTGTGCCACCATGCCTGGCTAAGAATTTTTGAAATACACGGGTATTATAAACAAAGAGTGTGTTATCTAAACTTCTATATTATCAGAAAGTAAAATCTGAACATAAAAATATAGTTACAAATTATTTTGTTAAAATGTATTGAGATCTAAGGATTCTGTTATAACATAATTTTATATTGTACTGATGTGCTTTAAAAAATTTAAAAGTATTTTTTTCAGTAGAAATGTATGCTTGTTGTAAGTTAAATAGTATAAAACAAATTATGAAGGACTGGGACTGTAGCTTAGTTGTAGAGTGCTTGACTAGTATCCAAGAACTCTGGGTTTGATCCTCAGCATTGTAAAAGAATAAAAATTGTGGAAAAATGTGGTAATAACACACGAAAAATTTTTTCTATGTACATGTTTTAACCTATCTTCTTTCATATCTTTTTTACTTGATAATCTGAGGTTATCTTTCAAAATAGTACATGTATCATCTTAATTTTAGTGGCAACAGTTTACTTTATAGAGATTATTTAGTTCCCTAATGATGTAAGTTCCTTCCAGTATTTCCTTTTACAAATAATGTTGCATGAAATAAAACTATGTGGACTTCTTAGAATTTTGTGCAAGTTCTAAAATGTGTATTTGCCGGACCATAACTTTTTTCTTTACACTTTAACCAGTTGGCACTTTGGATATTATATGATTCTGAGGTATAGAAGAAAACTTACAAGTTTGTTTGTAGTACAGGGTTTGCCTTTACTCTGCAAGTAGGAATACCTTGTGTGTGGAGGTGAGGGTGGGGGTGGGGATGTGTAGACTTTATAATTTCCAAAACATGTAATCTGTTTATCATCCCTATAAAAACCTTTTGGTAAAGCATTGTAAGAGTTAACATCATTTTGTAGACTTAGAAGCTCAGAGGGCTTAAAAATTTACCCCAAACATTTTAAATCTTTTTTTGTTGTTGTTGTTTTTTCTTTTTTATGTCAAGGTTTTATTGTCTGTTCTTAAAAGTTGAATTTGGAGTGTAAAAAACCTGCTCATGAAAAGATGAGCATCAGTATTGTGATGTATTCTAAGATCCCTCCACACATTTGTTTTTTGAGGTGGATAGGTGCATCTTACTTAGATGAAATGAAGCGGCTTAGCTGGTAGTGAATGGATTCTTTAGGTGATGTGTATCCTCTGAACAGCTTTAAAAGCAGCAAACCCAGATCTGCCCCTTTTAGCGGGGTAAGAGAAGATAGAATGAAGATATAAAACAACACCAGGCAGTAGTGGTCATACTTATAATCCTACCTACTTGGGAGGCTGAGATTAGGAGGGTCGTGGTTTGAGGCCAGCCCATACAAATAGTTGGTGAGACCCCCCCATCTCCAAAATAATGAACAAAATGGAATGGAGGTATGGCTCAAGTGGTAGAGTGCCTGCTTTGCAAATTCAAAGCCCTGAGTTCAAACCCCAGTACTGCCTCCCCATCTCCCCCTCCAAAAAAAGAAGATACAATAATATGTATGGGCTCATTTACTTTACAGAATGCTTATCTGGAAGACAGATATAAGAAATGCTTGTAGTAATTATCCTTAGTTTGGGGTGTTTTGGAGTGTGGGTATGTTGTGTGTCTATTGGGATATTGTTTAAACAAAATGGAATATTTTAGGATTTAGATGGGTGAAAGGTATAAGGAATTAATGTCTGAAGTTGATTCTGTATCAGCAAGAAATAGTTTAAAACTACTCCTAATGCTAACTGCATGAGTTAAGCATTTGATGGGAACTTCTCATATGCATTCTCAGATATAAAAGGACTCTTCTTAAAGTCTTTGGAGAGTGCAGTTATCCACAGCCTGTCTGTTTTCTTCCTTGTGAAAATAAGAACTTTACTTTTATTTTTTAACATGACTGACTTTCCTGAGACAAACCTTAAGATCTGTCCCAACATGATCATCCTGATCTTGGAACTTTTGCCATATCCATTTCCATTCAGCAAGTATTGATCGAGTGACACAAGGAGAGACATTCTGCTTTCAAGAGTCTACCAGTGTGGTGATAGGTACCAAACTTGAAAAATAGATACCTGCTCTTAGGGTCTTTGAAGGTGACAAGTAAATTGTCTTCCTGTTGTACAGATTTTATGGCAAGAACTCTTCCTATGTCCATGGGGGACTGGATTCAAATGGAAAGCCAGCAGATGCAGTCTATGGACAGAAAGTAAGCATACCAAGTTTAAATTTTTTTTCTTTTGATGGTACTGGGGTTTAAATGCAGGCTTTCACACTTGTGATGCAGGTGCTGTACTGCTTGAGCCATGTCTCCAGCCCAAATTTTAATGGAAACCTTTAAAGCAATTAGAAAATAGTCTATAAAATTGAGGGAGGATACATGCTTATAGATTGGCTGATACCTGAAGATCCAGTTTATTTACTTCTTGGTTTAGGCATTAATTATTATTGGTTAATATGATAGTTTATTGAAATGCTTATGTGATGTCACATTTACTCATTTTGTGTGACATTCTGAAGATTTGTATGGTAGAAGTGAATTAATTTTAGCATGGGTATCATCTCAACTTAATTTGGGACAATTTTTAAGGACTCATGTAGTCAGTCAAAATAGAGTATGCACAGACAATAGTCTACCTATATATTGTGACTTAAACACATTCTTTTTATCTGTGTTGTGTTGGGAAATTTTAAGACATTAACTTTTTTGAGTAGTAATTGCAGTATTTTATTATGGGATTCTTTGGTTGTAAATAATAGTGTATTTGTTTTATTGCTCATTTGAGGGCCTTGCTTTGAGAAATGCAGCACAAGTGTTACTTGCCCCAGAACACACATTAGGGGGATGTGTCAGGGCACCTATTGTTGGCAGCTTGAATTTCCAGGTATGGGCTGGGAAGGAGCCAAAGGATCAGCCAGAATCTGTTGATGTTGGCAATTAAGGTACTGTGGTGAGTCCTTTTAGGCATTAACTCTTACCTTGCTTCCTTAGGAAATTCATAGGAAAGTGATGTCACAAAACTTTACCAACTGCCACACCAAGATTCGCCATGTTGATGCACACGCTACTCTGAATGATGGCGTGGTGGTCCAGGTGATGGGACTGCTCTCCAACAATAACCAGGCTCTGCGGAGATTCATGCAAACATTTGTCCTTGCTCCTGAGGTATGTGTAGGAATGTGGGTGCTGCAGTAATGGAATATATGAAAAACAAAACAGTGAAAGGTTGTGTGTGTCTTTCTGGCTTCTGGGGGTTTTGTGTGGAGTTTGAACTCAGCTTCAGGTTTACATGGCTGGCTCTCCACAGCTTGAGCCACACCTCCAGCCCAGTTGTGTCTTTTAAAAGATTTTTTGAAATTTCAAACTTACTTAACTTCTATGTACTTCTTACCTACAGACTGTCAGCACTTGGCCACATTCGTGTAGTTCTTTCTCTATTTAGGTAATATCTTTCTCCTTGTAAACCATTTGAAAAGAAGCGTCTGCTCATGCTCAGATATTTAAGTCTGCATTTCCTATGAATAAGGATTTCTGTAACCAGTATATTCAGGAAATATAGATGCACCATGACTCATTCTGTTGCCCATATTTAAATTTAAGAAAATGTGCTGCTAATGTCATTCATAGGTTTTTTTCCACGCCTGGCTTTCAATACATGATTAGACATTGCGTTTAGCCATCATTTCGCTCCAGTTTCCTTGATTTTGCAGTTCTTCAATCTTTTGTTTTACATAGCATTGACATTTTTTGAAGAGCATAGTCACATTTTGTACACACTTCACATGGTAGTTGTCTTTGAGTAGTAGTACTTCAATTAAGGACACACATAATGCTGTGTGTCCTTAACTTTGATTACCTTAGTTAAGGTAATGTTTACTAGGTTTTGCCACTGTAAAGTTAGATGTTTTTCCTTTTCTGATATGTCAATAGTGGCAGATTCTTAGAACATCTTCTGTTCTGCGTTCATTGATGATTTTTGGCTGAAGTCAGTTTACTAATTCAGATAATAACAAATGCAGATTATTTAATCTTAACATTCTCCTACAAACTTATTAGTTGCATTCTCCTACAAAGAGTTTTCCTTTCTGTCTTATCATTTATGGATTTTTAAAGTTTGTTTAAAGAATTTTAGCTGGGTATGGTGGCTCAAACCTGTAATCCTAGCTACATGGGAGAAGGAGATCAGGAAGATTGTAGTTCAGTGCAACCTGGGAAATAGTTCCTAAGATTCCCTCTCACCCAATAAAAGCTGGGCACAGTGGCATGTGCCTGTCATCCCCGCTATGAGGGAGACATAAATAGGAAGACTGTGGTCCAGGCCAGCCTAGGCATAAAGTGAGACCCTGTCTTAAAAAGAACCAAAACAAAAACAGGCTAGGGGTATGTCTCAAGTGTAGAGCACCCCCTGAGTTCAACCCCTAGTAGTACCACCAGAAAAAAAAATATTATTTTAATCCATTACTAATTTTATGTTTGAAGCATTCCAGATTGAGTAGTGTGAACCCCTTCCAGAATTCTTTTGTATCTTTACAGTGGGGGGTGGGGAATGACACTTTTGTGACATAGTGATGTTCCAAGCTCAGCTTGTGCTGGCCTTGCTCTATCCCCAGTTTTGGAAGTAGCTGTTTCTTGAAGGAGATTTAGTTCTTTGTAGTTAGGTTTACCATGAAAGGACCACAGGTGTATGCATTTGTGCCTTCTGCCAGACAGGTCCAGGCAGAATAGGATCAAGAAACCTGACTGCTTAAGTGGCTCATTAAAAACTTGCTGAAGAAGTATTTCTCTAGCATTAATTTTTTTTTCTTTTCTCTCAGTACTGGGGTTTGAACCTCATGGCTTTGCACTTGGTAGGCAAATGCTGTACTGCTTGAGCCATGCCTCCAGCCTTCTTTAGGATTAGTCTTAAAATATAATTTTTTATTGGATCGTAAACCTAATAACCCTAGTTTTTACTGTTTGAGTATAAAATAGTTTGTCTGTTTGAAGAGTTACGTGAAATTACTGTAGTCATCTTATTCATTTATTAAAGTGTGAAGACTTGGAGAGCATGGTGGTATACACCTGTAATTACAGCATTTGTGGGGCTTAGACAGGAAATGATCTCAGTATACAAAGCATGGAGGTATATGTTAATGTCTCTCTTTACACATGAGGAAACAGCCTTAGAAATCAAATAAATGGAAATAGCTGGGCTTGGACTTGGGTATGTCCCTTTTTTGGGATGGGGGGCAGTTGTGGGTTTGAACTAGGGGCCTCATGCTTGATGGTAGGCATTCTTAGTGCTTGAGCCACTTTGTCAGCCCTACTGTGAGCAAGATTTTTCAGCTGCCTCAGTCTTGGGAGCTTGGATCCATATTCTTGGACATGGACAGTTAGGGACTTTTAAGTGTCTGCTGAGGTTGGGAATATATTGCTTGCCTCTTAACAATTTGAGGTGTTGGCTTTGGCATCTTAACGTACTTCAGAGTTTTACGGGTTTGGGAACCTATCTGGTGGTAAGCACAAATATTTTGAACAAACATTTCAGTGTCAGTGTAGTTTCTTTACAGTGATAGTGACATTGTGGGCTGAGTAATTCCTTGGTTTTTTTGGGTGGGGGAGGTAATTCACATGCATTGTAGGATATTTAGCAGCACCCTTGCTTTCTACTCAGTAGTTGTTGTTTGCTACTCCAGACATTGCCAAGGGTCTGCTGGGGGCACAATCTCCCACAGTTGAGAACCAGTGCTTGTAGAGTTATTTGGGTTTTTAAGTCTGCTGAATAAAAACTTCTTGTTGGCATTGCAGGGCTCTGTTGCAAATAAATTCTATGTTCATAATGATATCTTCAGATACCAAGATGAGGTCTTTGGTGGCTTTGTTACTGAGCCTCAGGAAGGTAAGTATTGAAACACTATGGTACTTACCTGTCTCAATTTTTTAAATGACATCTGACTTGTTTAAAAGAATGAGTTTGTGAATTCAGTAAGCACAAATAATTTTAAATGTCTTTTCCTCTAAAGAGTCTGAGGAAGAAGTAGAAGAACCTGAAGAGAGACAGCAGACGCCTGAAGTGGTACCTGATGATTCTGGAACTTTCTATGATCAGAATGTCAGGTGAGAAAAAATTTTGCTCACATATACAGGGCTGTAGTAAAAGCCTGCATTGTCTGGTCTTTCCCTTCTTTAGAGAACAGACTTCTGAGAATTAATCTTCAAAGGTAATGATAATTTTCCAGAAAAAGGTTTTGCTTTTGGTATCTGTCAGTTGCTTTTTGGTTTTGTGGTGTTCTTGGTAGATGAAAAAAAAAAAACACTTGAGGGCATGGCTCAAGTGGTAGAGCACCTGCTTCGCAAATGCAAGGCTCTAAAATCAAAGCCCCGTACCACAAAAATAAACAAAAACCCCACAAGGTGTCACTATGTAGACTAAGCTGGCCTTGAATGAACTCTTTGATGCTTCTGTCTCTTACCTTGGATTACAGGTGTGTATGTACCACCATGCCTGGCTAAAGTGTTTGTTAGAGATCAGACATAAAAATTAATAGCTGTGTGTAGTGGTGTATGCATGTAATCCCAGCCCTGTGGAGGCCAGCAGGAAGATAATTGAGTAAAAGGCCAGCCTGGGGCTACTTAGCAAGATCTTGCCTCACACAATGAGTGTGGCATTGCATCTTTTTTAGTGAAAATGATAGTAAAGTTTATTAGGAAAGGAATATACTTTCAGTAACCTGAAAATGAGTCATCTCTACAGTGAGAATGACTTGTATTTTAGGTTTTTTAATTGCCTTGCACTGAGATATGGTCCAATATGTAAGACATTTCCTTGAACTACCAGTTATGAAATACATCTAGAAAAGTGAACCAAGCAATTATAAAAGAGAAAGGAGATTTAAAAAGAAAAGAAACTAGAGGAGCTTAGTGGTAGGATGCTTGCCAAGCATGTGCAAGGCCTTGGGTTTCTATCCCAGCTACTTGAGAGGCCTGAAAACTAACCTAGAGCAAAAAGGCTGGAAGTATGGCTTAGGTGGTTTAGAATACCTGCCTGACACGCAAATCCCTGAGTTCAAACCCCATTACTGGCTCCCTGCCTGCTTCTCCTCCCCTCACCCCCCCAAAAAAAGATAGGAAAAGAAATGCTTGTTGTTATTACCATATGACACCCTAAGTGTTAACACTCAGTATTAAGAGGTATTTTCAAGTGTTTGACAAGGTGTAGTGATGGTTTAAACACATTACTCACCCGAGTTGCTAGTTGAAAATAAACATTGGAGGTCTAACTACAAACCTAGTGAATTAGAATTGAGGAGGGAAAAGCATCTGCAGTTTTAACAGCATTCCTGGTGATTCATGTGGAAGTTTAACAACTGTTCTCAATCATAATGTCTTTATTCTCTCCTCTGTTTTTATGAGAGCTGTATTTTAGTTAAAATCCACATAAAACTTGCTGTCTTAACCATTCTAACTCTGTAGTTCAGTAGTGTTATCCATATATTATGATACATCTATGCACAACCAATTTCTAGAACTTTTTATCCATCTTACAAAACACACCGTACTTAATGAAAAGAGCTATTTCCTCTTTCTAGTTTCCCCAGCGTCTGAGGAAAGACAGTTTTTGTGATGTTGTAGGATAAGTAAATTATAATAGTTTTGGAATTCTGACTTAATGAAAAAAAGTCACTGATTCATTTTGATCTGACTCATTAGCTTATCAGAGCTTAGTAAATAAATATATTCCTGTTAAGATTTGCTTATTGGGTGCTTTTTCTTAAATCACATCTTTTAAACCTGTACATAATTTTTAGCTCCTTTTTTGGTAAGAAGGAAATACTTTTTGTGTGCGGGGGGAGGTTCTGGGGATCCAACCCAGGGCCTTGGACATGCTAAGGTAAACCAGTTAGTTAATAAACGATTGAGAATTTCTTGCTAAATTCATGGAGACAGAATGATATTTCTCAAATTTCCCTGTTAAAGCAATGACTTGGAAGAACATATAGAGGAGCCTGTTGCTGAGCCAGAGCCTGATCCTGAACCAGAACCAGAGCAGGAACCTGTATCTGAAATCCAAGAGGAAAAGTCTGAGCCGGTATTAGAAGAAACTGCTCCTGAGGATGCTCAGAAGAGTTCCTCTCCAGCACCTACAGACATCGCTCAGACTGTGCAGGAAGATTTGAGGGTATGGAACATGTCTTCATTTTTGCTCTCTGTAGTTTATTTATTGCAGTGCTGGGGATTGATCCCAAGGCCTTGCACATGCTAGGCAAGCATGCTTATATCACTTAGCCTTTCTAGTTTTGTTTTTTAAATCTCCTTTCTCTTTATAATTGCTTAGTTCACATTTCCAGATGTATTGTATGATCGATAGTTCAGGGAAATTTCTTATATATTGGACCATATTTCAGGTCCTAAGAGGTATGATGCATATTGCTTTGTAACATCAAAAGTAATAACCTGTGACCCCTTTCCCTTCAAAGGTAACTTGGGTACTTCTTAGATCTGAAATTACAAATCTCGTTATTGCTATATCTTCAGTCTCTAGTCTGTTGATCCCTTAACTTCTAAGTTATTATCTGCTGGTTCTAACACAGTATAAATTTTGCATAACATACCCCCTTTAGAAAAATAGCATGGTGAAATCTCACTGAGGGTATCTTTACAGTAGAAGTAGAAACGAACTACTCAATATAACTACATTTAAAAGTAGAATATCGGGCTGGCGGAGTGCCTCAGGTGGTAGAGGGCCTGCCTAGCAGCATGAGGCCCTGAGTTCAAACCCCAGCACTGCCCAAAAAAAAAGTAGAATATCTATTTTCAAAAGTTTGAAGCTTTTCGGTTACTTTTAAGACTCATCAAGGGTATTGTTAGCTGTAGGCAGAGAACATTTTTCATTCAATGCTCTGGGGAAGATTTTTTTTAGTGTTATGTCAGGGATTTTACAATTTTTTTTTTTATTTGTGGTGTTGGGGCTTGAACTCAGGACCTATACCTTGAGCCACTCTACCAGCCCTTTTTTATGATGTTTTCTTTCTTTTTTTGTCTTTGAGATAGGGTCTCTTGAACTATTTGCCTGGGCTGGCTTTGAACCACAATCCTCCTGAGTAGTTAGTATTACAGGCATGAGCCACTATCATACCATGTTTTGCTATGTAGTCCAGGCTGCCATTGAATACTAACCCTCCTTGCCATAACCTCCTGAGTTGCCAGGTTACAAGTGTGTGCTACCATGCCCAACTAGTCCCAAAGAATTTTAGTAGTATATCTGTGAGTAGGTGAAATAAAGGAATCTCAAGATATTTATAAATGTGTCCTGTCTATGAGTGATGCAGGTAGTATGAGCAGGAAATCAAGAGTTAACAGCTTTTTGCCAGGTGCTAGTGGCTCATGCCTATAATTCCAGTTACTTAGGAGGCAGAGGTTCAAGGCCAGCCCCATCAATAAAAGTGAGACACTATCTCAATGCAGAAAGAAAGGGCTGGTGGAGTGGCTCGAATGAGTTCAAACAAGTACCACCAAATTTATCAGCTTTTATTTTGTTTTGATTGTATAATATCATCGTGTAATGTTTTCCTGTAGACATTTTCTTGGGCATCTGTGACCAGTAAGAATCTTCCTCCAAGTGGAGCCGTTCCAGTTACTGGGATACCACCTCACGTTGTTAAAGTGCCAGCTTCACAGGTAAGGTTCTGATGAGTTTAGTGCTTTAGGCATAGAGATTTAACAGGGGTTTAGAAAATGAGAACTGGTGTATAAAGGCAGAGGAAAGGGTACCGAATGTTATTTTTGGTTATTTTTATGGTACAGGGGTTTGAACTCAGGGCCTGTACCTTGAGCCACTCTACCAGCCCTTTTTTTGTGATGGGTATTTTAGAGATAGGATCTTTTGAACTATTTGCCCAGGCTGGCTTCAAACTGATCCTCCTGATCTCTGCCTCCTACTAGCTAGGATTACAGGTGTGAGCCACCGGTGCCTGGCCTGGATGCTTTTTAAATGTATTTTTTTGTAATATAGTTGCCATTTTCTAGTTTAAAACTTAATTATTAAGAAATTTCCCAAGAAAAAAAAATTTAGTTTGTTTTTACACAAAAGTTAATTTGTAAATTTTTTTAGCCCCGTACAGAGTCTAAACCTGAATCTCAGACTCCACCACAGAGGCCTCAGAGAGACCAAAGAGTTCGAGAACAACGAATAAATATTCCTCCACAGAGAGGACCCAGGCCAAGTAAGAGGTCACAAGGGTGACTTTCCTAATTTGGATGATTTTGAGTTGAGTTTTGGGGAGTGGGGAGAGGGGAGGGGATTGATGATTTTATACTTAAACTGTAGGGTTAGTGGAATTCTCTGATTTAGGGCACAGGGCAATCTTGCATATGAATAGTCCTCTGAAGACCTTCTGTAGTCTTTCATCAGTATTTTTGCCTCTTTTTTTTTTTTTTAAAGTCCGTGAGGCTGGTGAGCAAGGTGATGTTGAACCGCGAAGAATTGTGAGATACCCTGACAGTCACCAACTCTTCATTGGCAACTTGCCTCATGAGGTGGACAAATCAGAACTTAAGGATTTCTTCCAAAGTAGGTCATTGAATTTTAAACACTAAATACATCAGCATTGTCCGTAGAAATAGAAGACAAACTACTGTGATTTAAGTTTTCTAGTAGTCATGTTGAAAAAGTAAATGGAGAATTTAATTTTTAATATTTTAAACAGCCCACTGTAGGTAAAACCTTTCAGCATATCAAACTATTATGATAAGGTTGAACATCCATAGTCCAAACAACTGAATGCTCCAAATTGTGAAACTTTGAGTGTCAGCAGTACCACACGTGGAAAATTCTATATCTGATCTTACTGTCTGAGTGAACACAGACATACTGTAAATGCAGTCTTGTATAAAGAAAAAAAATCCCTGTATTTTTTTACGTGTATAAGGGGTATGTATGAGGCATAAATGAAGTGTTTAGACTTGGGTCTCTTCCCTAAGGTGTCTACATACATGGACCAGTGTTACAAAATATGTCCTGAAATACTTTGACAAGAAACATTCAACCTGTGCTTTCCTTTTTTTAAAAAACAAAGTTTCTGAGGTACTTGGCAACATCTCAGGTGCTGTCTCCACATGTGTGGAGGTCATTGTGTTGGCAGCGCACATCTGTCATTGAAAAGTTGGCTGAGTTACCTGAGACTGCTTGGCTTGCAGGTTACGGGAATGTGGTGGAGCTGCGCATCAACAGCGGCGGGAAGTTACCCAATTTCGGCTTTGTCGTGTTTGATGATTCTGAGCCTGTTCAGAAGGTCCTCAGCAACAGGGTGAGTGCTTGAACTGAGGAAGAGTCTTGTCTAGCATTCTAGAGAGTCTGAGTTTTATCCCCAGCACTCGAGAGGGAAGGTTTTTAGAATGTATTCATCCTTACAGCTGTCATCTTTATGTAAAATTTATTCCAGTATGTTTAACCATTATTACTAGAAGATGGACCTGCCTGGGAGTTCTACTTTCAGATCAGTCCTTTTGTACTCTTGTGTCCTTCAAACGTACCTTGCCTTTCCTTCATTTCATTTTACTGATGGAAGTGTATATATACTGTATTCCTTTCAGTAGTTTTTGTGAGGATGGAAGTAGCTTGCATAGACTGACCACCATGGTGTATGATATGTTGTGTAGCGTAGTGCTTCTGAGCTTACTCTTCACTTGCAAACCCTGGTTTACATTGCTCTCCCTCACTCACTGGTATTGTGATACCTTTGTCTTATTTGCTAGTTTGTAGAAGTTTTATTTAGGTCAGTTCAACGACATTTTTATTTGAGATGTATGTCTACTGTACTTTTTTTTTTTTTCAGTACTGAGTATTGAACTTAGCCTTACAATTGCTAGGCAGTTGCTCTACCACTTGAGCTATTCTACCACTCCTTTTTTTGTGTTGGGTATTTTTAAGATAGCGTCTCATACTTATTTGACAGAGCTGGCTTTGAACCTCAATCCACCACTGCCTCTTAAATAGCTAGAATTGCAGGTGTGAGTCATGGGTGCCCAGCTGATTGTGACTTTTTTGATCCAGCATACATACCTAACCATATTTCCAGGTATTAATTAATGGGAAAATAAGTTTTCTGAGTTCAAAACAAAAGTAGACTGAGAACTTAGCCGATTTGAAAGTTACTGTTTATGACAACTTTGTCTTAAGAAAAGCATTGAGTAAGTCTGATCATCTTCTTACAGCCTATCATGTTCAGAGGTGAAGTTCGTCTAAATGTGGAAGAGAAGAAGACTCGAGCTGCCAGGGAAGGAGACCGCCGAGATAACCGCCTGCGGGGACCTGGAGGCCCTCGAGGTGGGCTGAGTGGTGGAATGAGAGGCCCTCCCCGCGGAGGCATGGTGCAGAAACCAGGATTTGGAGTGGGAAGGGGGATTGCTCCAAGGCAGTGAATTGCTTATCACTGATCTTCACGTAGCATATAAACCCCAGCTCCTGCAGAATGGTGAATTTCTTCAACCAGCCTTTGCTATCTTGGAGTATGATGATTCTAGTCAATTATAAACTGCTTAAGTTTGTACAATTTTATTTCTTTTTGTGTTACTGGTGTCTGCCCCTTCCCTCTCCTGGCCTTTTAGTCCTTCACTTCCAATTTTGTGGAATGATATTTTAGGAGTAATGGATTTTTAAAGAAGAAAAAAGACTGAATTTCCTTGCTTACTTTGCATATACAGACTGGATTTTTTTTTTAAATAGCCATTTCCCCAAAGGAATATGTCTTGTTTATTACTGACATTTGGTATGTTCATTCATTGGAATATTTCTTATTTTCTATATGTTTCAAAATCCTGTGACAAATACAGGCTTTGATACACATTTTGGAGGCAGGAATAATCCAAATTGTTTCTTGAGTCATGACTACCTTCTGATGTGGAAAAAAATGCCATTTGGAACATTTAACAAGTTTGATTCTCACTGGTGTTAGTTATCCGAATAAAAGGTGTTAATAGTACTTTTTTCTTTTGATATGTGATCACAAAATGATTCTAAAACCTACTGTTTTTACCACTGAAATTTAAATTGTGAGATAGGTTTTAAATGTTTAGAATGCAACTGATAGACTTTCTTGAAATGTTAGATTTTTTTGAAGTAGTTTTTTTCATGTTTCATTTGTATTTGTAAAAAGAAAAAGAAAATAAGCAAAAAAAAAAAAAAACTCCAAATCTGAATAACAAAAACCAGAGCAAACTGTTGTGCCTTCTATTTATCTTTGACTCCAGTCTTGGCAATTGTTTAAAGAAAAATAATAAAAATTCTAGATTTGTTTTATCAGGTTCAGAGTATGTGGGGAATTGTAGAATCTCTTTCATCACCTTATATGTCTTCTGTTAACATTTGTTATGCCTTATTCTAAAATCGAGTCTCAAACTGGAATGCCTTTGAGGACAGATGCTACCATAGGGGTCTTTTGACCTAAATCGTTCAGCGTTTGTCCTAAGTTTTACTTTGGTATCCAACAGATTCCTAATCATAGCCCATGGAAGGAATGTGACTTCAACATTGGACTTCGCTGATGTGCTTGAATAGCTGCAACTTTTTTCTCTTTAAATCATAGCCATATGGTAAATTTTCTATTTTGTTAAGGTTTTCTTTTATTGACGGACATGCAGAGGGTGTTTCTTGGAATTGGCCAATTTTTATTAAAATATTTCTGGAAGAAAATTTAATCTGGCAATATAGACTAGTAATACTCATTTTATATAGTATGTTATTTGTTGAATGCTGTGTGTGAGGTGGGTGAAGATTTTGTTTACATCTGTGTAAAACAAGCTTTGTGTAGTAACTTGGGCAACCATGTTGTCAAATTTAAGGTGTTTTAGCTGTTCATTTTTAGGGATTCTTTGGGGATAGTAGGCATAGAAATGTTTTTGTTTTGCTGTTAATGAGAAAAAGTGGGTTTGCTGTGAAAGGGTTAGTGAAGACTAAAATGAAGTGTGTCGTGTTACCAATTTGATGGCCATACCTCACATATTTGAAGATCACTGAATCTCATGGTTGGTTTTGGTGTTTTTTTTTTTTTTGGGTTCAGTGTAAATAATTCTTTGGTTGCCACTTCATTGGGTGTAGGCCATTGATAATTAGAAGGATTTCAACTTGTACTTTTGTAGCTTATATTAAGCTTGTCATGAAAAGAAAAGGTAGCCTGAATTACTCTTGTAAAAAAATTAAGCCAAGCATGGTGGGGCACATCTGTAATTCCAGTTACTTGGGAAGCTGAGGCAGGAGAATTGAGAGTTCAAGGAGATCCTAGGCAAGATAGCAGGAGCTGTCTCAAAAAAATAACCTAGAAATTAATTTTTCACAACTAAATATAATACTTAGCTGTACAAATAAAACCAAGTTCTTAAATCAGAAGTTTAAGGGTACTAACTGGATATAGAGAGTCTTGAATTGGTGTTACCACATCCTGGAGGTCATTTTGCAGTGTGAGACTTGGAGGCATTATGGGGGGTGACACTACCTCACCTTTAAAGGACACCAAGGACACACAATGTTTTTAAAGTGAAACAGCATCATTGGGAACACTGATGGCTTCTCCTGATGGTGAGTGAAGTGGTGGGATTGGGAAGTGGCGCCTTATTTTGAAATTCTGCTTCAGAAACATAATTCGCAAATGGAAATCTTTCCTCAGAGTCAGTAATCTCTTCCCATTATTTGTGCCGGGGGCGGGGGGTGTGTGTGTGTGTGTGTGTGTGTGTGTGTGTGTATGCGTGCGCATGCTTAAAATGTGGAAAGGGGTTGCAGTATATTCCAGATGCTGCTTGTAACTTATCTCAGAAAACAAGATTTCCTCAGCGCCTTCAAGCCATCAGAATTGGGGTGTTGGGCTTTGAATAGCTTTGGACCTGAAAAATAAGATTCAGAATCATGGGTCAGCACAGCTAGAAAGTGAAAAGGTAAAGTAAGTTAGGGCACAATTTTCTATGGCTGAAAAGTACAAATTCTCATGTGTAAGAATGGCCCAAGGCAGTTCTTTGATATTGAACTTAAGTTCCTTGACCCATAATGGAGTATTTTAACTGAGACTGGTTTGATTCAGTGGGTCTCGGACTGTTCAAAGACCTGTTGGAAATAAGTAAATCTGTCTTTGCTTTCATTGTGATCTTGTACTTCTGTCTTCCCAACTCTGAGCTGTTGCTAGAGAGCAGTGAAAAGGATAACCAAAAAATAAGTGTAGGTGCTGGTAGCTTATGCCTTTTGTAATCCTAGCTACTTGGGAGGCTGAGAGGGAGCATAGAGACTCAATTCAAGGCCAGACCTGGCAAATATTTTGTGAGATCCCCAGCTCCAAAACTAACCAGAGTAAAATGGACTGAAAGTGTGGCTGAAGTGGTAGAGCACCTGCTTTGCAAGTGTGAAGCCCTGAGTTCAAAACCCAGTCCCACAAAAAAGTCATTTGACTTTGAATGGGGTAAGTTACTACCACAGCATTTGCTCTACTGCACTTTAGTTTTAGTTTAGAAAACACACCTCTCAACCAGGTGTTGTGCACACCTATAACCCCAACACTCAGGGCTAAGGCAGGAGTGTCATGGTTTTGAGGTCAGCCTGGGCTACATAGCAAGACCCTGTCTCAGAAAAAAAAAAGAAAACTAATTCTCACATCTACCCTATAGATAATGTGATGTTATCCCCAAAATAACATGAAGAAATGGAATCAGAGCAGTAAATGAGTAGACCTTCAAATAATTCATGCAGCAAGGAGCAGCTTGACCTTCAAAACGGGTGCTTTTTCTGTAGTGCCGTGTTGCCTGGTTCCATTTGAATGACATACTGAGTAGGATATTCCTATAATGAAATTACTACTGTGTAGAGACCTGAGTCTGGAAGACACATTCAGAACGAGTTTGGTATTACTGATTTTCATTTTCTTTAGAGCAAATAAAATTGGTGAATTTTGTAGAGCTCCTTTGAATATTTGCAGATTCTACATGATAATGCAGTAGTAGTGATTGGTTCTGAAATTGCTTTCTCATCTGGTTTGGTAATACACTCAGTACAAACTTGAAGCCTGGATGTGGATGATAACAGATTTTTGCATGATTCAGGTGAGTTTATAGTTGTGTTTATACTTAAAACTTCCTTTTCTGATCCCTTCATCCCTTGTAGGATTTAGTGGTTTAGTACAGAATATTGCACTTTATAGAACGCAGTTAGAATCTATATGGGAAACTTTGTAGGAAGCTTAGATTCGTAGATCATGATTTATGTTGAGTGGCTTATTTTAAGTAAATGGGTGTATTTGTCACATCTACTGATCTAAAGATGTCTTATATTTTTGTGCTATTTAAAAGGATCTCTGTAGGACTACATACAGGCGAGATAATTGCTGGCTTTTAAGAATTTTTGACCTTGCAAAAGAAGAATCAACACTTATTTGAATATGGGGTTTTAGCTAACTGCCTAATATACCAAAAGTAAGCAGTTGAAATGAGGGTGGGTTAAAGACGTGGTACAGGACTGGTACAGGAGTGGCCATGTGGCACTAAATGATACCTAAATTAAGTCAGTTACGGTTTTAAGAAAGTCTAGTGCCTTTCAGGGTTTACATTTGTTCACAGTGATGCTAAGGTTCTGGGATCCATGAGTAGACTTGGGAACGCTTAACTAGACTGAGGAGAAAGGGCACATGTGAGAGGAGACTTGTATTTACATTCTTCTTAGTGGATATGTGTTTAGGCAGGGGAGTACTGAAATGAGCCTCTCTCATGAGTTCATGTAAGCATAGTCTGAATGAGTAAAAGTTGAAAGTCACTAAAAACCCTTAACCAGTTTTGATTTTGATTATGCTTAGAATCAAGGTGGTTCAGGTTGTGTTTATGCGGCTTGTATTGGAAACTGCACTGTCTTCTTTCTCCCCAGTTTCTGACTTGAACTTAGTAGCTTTTTTCTTTTTTAAAGGTCCCTACAAATAAGAAAATAGTACTGGGAAACAGTTCCATGGTTAACTTCCATAAACCATGTGACCTGGCCGATTACATAAACTCATAATGTGTATAGTACTGTGAAAGAACGGACAGTGTCCCAGATCTGCAAGGGGTGTGCACACAGTGTGTGTGGAGTTTTGTCTTCTTAACAATGTAAATTAAGAGTATTTAACCAAAAACTCACTATTGAAATACTTTAACAAGTATTTATTTTTTAGGGGTCCACTTGCAGGACCTTAGCCTATATTTTTAGTAGTAGTTGGAGGCGAGATTACATGCTGATTAAGCTGGATAGAGGCATTTTAACTATTGTGTAACTAGTCTCTGCTATTGATTTTTCCCCAAGCTTTGATGTTGCCTGTTTGACTTTGGATTTGTTTACATTTTAAAATTTCTGTTTTGAAGATTGTCTATATATTGATTTGGTCCTTTAAAATGAAGACATTATACCAAGAAGCTGGTATGTGGAAGTAGGATAGGAGTATTTGCTTTTTTTCTTACCTTTTTAAACATTTGGTGGTGCACATTGAACTTGTAGCAGAACACATTTTAAAATTTCATGGATAAGGGCAGATGGGCTCAAGTGGTAGAGCACCTGTTTAGCAAGCATGAGGCCCTGAGTTCAAGCTCTAGTACCACAAAAAAAAAACAACAAAAAAACCCCATGTATATTAGAGGTTAGAATAGGAATTGTTTGTGATTTATATGGAAGAATTAAGTGAGAAAAAAATCAGTATTAAGGTTTTTCTTCCCATTCTGATTGTTAAGATGCCTAGAGTTTGTCACTCATAGATTGTTTTAGTACTGGAAAGGACTAAGTTGATCTTTATATCCCTTCATTTTACAAAAATATAGAAAGTGCAGAGTTGGTTAGTACAGAGTCTCAAATCTGCTTGTAGAGGAACTGGAGGCCCTTAGAGCACCAGCCTGCGGTACCTGTGGGATGACGAGCTGCTGTAGGTCAGGATGAGGAAGAAGAGGGCACACCATATTTTCTATGTTTAGTAGTCCCTAATGGAGTTTGGTCTTCATGTCCAGATTTTCTCTGTTTTCTCACAACTGTCTTAATTCCCAGCCGTACCAGGGCCTGTCATCCCTGTGCTCCCCTCAGGGATGGGTTTTACTACTAGCTCTAAGAAAGCTATTGGGTATCCTAATGTTTAAATAGCTGAAACTCTCCTACACCCTATCGCATTTTGTGCATTGTTGTGCTTTCCCCACTTGGTATTGTGACAGAGGGCCAGTGATTTGTCTTCGGCACCTCATGTCTGGTAGCACCATGTGTGTATCAGATCAGTCACTCTCCATTCTTCTTGGAAATGATGCTCCAGCTATATGTGGCCCCCCTAATGAGCCTGGCATTGCCAGTTCCACTGCTTCAAGTGCCTTCTCCCTGAAGACACACCTGCACCCTGCTCTGTCTCTTCTTCAAGGTCCAGTTCAAAAGCTGGTCTCCCACCACACACACACACACACACACACACACACAGTCCAGTTCAAAAGCTGGTCCTCCCCCCGCTCCCAGCACACACACACACCCAGGAAAGAAACTGGAATGGGGAGTTCCTTTTGGGAACTGATGGGTCTAGAATTTGAAGTGGGGAACATTATCATCCCCTCTCCCTCCATTTTGTCCCTCCTATTTAAAGTTCTGTCCCTACCTTCATTTTTTTAAGCTAGAGCATTCTATACCTTCCTTATGGTTGTAACTTACCCTTCAGCCTAGAATTAGAACTGTTTAATTACCTTGTTAGACTAAGCACCTAGAGGGCAGGCCTGGGGGATTAATCCCTGTATTCCACCAGAAGGTAGGGTGACTTTATATTAGAGTCCCTAGATGATAGTTGAGTTGAATAACTTAATGTAGCTTTCCATTTTCATTCTCAAGGTAAGCATGCTGGAAATAGTCTGGAATTCAGTAGGTTTTAGATACTGTGACATTTCAGTGGAGGAAATGGAAAGTTGGGGGTTTTAATTTTTTTCAGAAAGTTTTTTGGGGATGGGCAGTAAATGGGGAAGAAGTCACTGGGTTTTTTAAGGTTCTTTCATCCCTGGTCTGAGTAAATAGCCTTTTCTCTTTGATTGTACCAAGTATA